TAAAAAATATATATATTTTTTTTTTTTTTTTTTAAATATGAATTCTACATTGACATTCATTTTATTTTTATACAATAATTGAATTTATTTTGTTCTTTTTTTTTTTTTTTTAATTATTATGACCTGAACAAAAAATATATTAATATATATATATATATATATATATAATTTTTTTTTTTTTTTTTTTTTTTGAATGAGGCCTCAAAATTAATTAAAATTGAATAAGTATATATTATTACGTTGCTTTATAGTTTATATGAATTTATATTTGTTCTTATATATATATATATATATATATATAATATTATAATTATATACTAGTTCTTTTTTAAGAACAAATATTTTTATATAGTTAATGGTTATAAAAATATATATATATATATAATTAATTTTAATGTGCATATAAATATAGAATTTGTTTATTATAATATATTATTTTATATTTATTTATATATTCAAAAAAAAAAAAATACAAAAAATATTTTTAAAGTTATTTTTTATGTCATTATATATTTAAAAATAAAAATGAAGAGAGAAAATTATATATTTATAAATAAAGTATAGAATAAACCAAAAAAAAAAAAAAAAAATAAAATAAAATAAAATAAAATAAAATAAAATAAAAAATAAAAAAAATAAAATAAAATATGAACAGCTCACCAAAATTGAAAATATTTAAAAATATGTAAAATAAAATAAATAAGAATAAATAGAATATAGTATAAAATACAACTATGTAATATAAATATATAAAGAATATATATATATATATATATATGTATATTTTATATATTACTATGAAAAAAAATAAATAAAAGGAGTAATATTTCTTTATATATATATATATATATATATATATATATATATATATATTATATATAAATATTTTTCTATATATTAATATATTCTTATATATACATGTATTAACAAAACAGGTAATAACATATACATATATATATATGTCCTTTTATTTTGTGTAAAGTAATTTCAAAGGATGCACACAAAAAAAAAAAAAAATAAATAAATAAATAAAAGGTTAATGCATATGTAATATTTTATTTCTTATGAAAAAAAAAATTACATAAATGTATTTATATATACACATGAATAATCCATTTATTATAAAATAAGGAATAATTTTATGTACAAAAAAAAGAAAAAAAGGGAAAAGTAATAAAAATAATTTACACAGATATTATATCATCACATATGATAAGTGTGAGGGGGCTATAAATTTTCATAATATTCAAAAAAGTATATATTGCTAGAACTGAATATGATGTAAAAGATATATATATATATTATATGAGACCATTTGCATATATTAATTTGAATTTTTTTCTATTAAGCCACACATTATTCATATAAATAATAATCATACATACATATATATATATATGTATTCCCTCTTTTTTTTTTATTTTTGTATCTATTATAACATCAATTAGTTCAAATTTTCCTTGGTATTTTAAATGAGGAAAATACATGCTTCCTCTTTACATTCATAGAATTACTTTTGAATAAATTCATTTTATTTATTTTATGTTTTTCCTCATCGTTTTTTGTTTTTTCATTTAATTCTTCTTCTCTTTTTTCTAATTCTTTCATTACTTCAACAATCCCTTTATCTCGAATTTGTTTAGGAATAATAGAAGATGCACTCTGAAAAGGTATATATCCTTTAATTTTTTTATTATTTAATTTATATATTCCCTCTTCTAATTTTCTATCACCATATTTATCATCATATTTATTATAATAATTTGTGTTTCTCTTTTCCCTTGTTTCTTCATCCGAGGGGCTATAATATGTGTCATCATCATATAACTTATGTTTCCCATTATTATTATATAAATAATTATATTCATTTGTCACACCCTTACTATAAAATTGTGATATATTATTTATTTTTTTATTCTCATATAAGTTGATTACGTTTTGAATTTTAATCCTTGAACCTTTAGTGTCATAACAAAATGAGCAACAGAAATGTTCATCTGGCAAATTATGTTTATTTTGATCAGACGGATGATAAATATTAACAGTATCAAAGTTGTATTTCTCGATATGTGTTTGATTTTTATGAGTTTCTATACTATGATCAGAACTATTATTTTTTTGTAAATTTTTATTTGGATAAGTTTCTCCAAAATATGACAAAATTTGAGAACGTATACATTTTTCATTTATACATAAGTTGTGAACACATTCTAAATTATAAATTTCTTTT